ACTCTAGCCACCTGCCAGCTTTTGACTGACGTTCGTAAGATAAAGAGTGACCTTCTCACTCTATTCAGCCATCTTCAGCGCAAGCAACATGGACTTTGTTCTACAAGCATCTGAAAAAGAATCCTTGCAATAACATTCTGGTTGGCAAGATTGATGTTTAAGGAAACGAAGACAGAAACATTGTCCGGAACTCTGACTTGCACACCTCTTCTTGAACTTGCATAGACTCATATGCGATAATATACAAGTAGATCAAGTAGTATATCAACATTTCTGATATTTTCTGATATCAATGTGTGATTTGAACATAGAAAAGGTCGGACGTGGACAAGCTGCAGGGCAATCATTGCGGCAATGATTCTTTTCCACTTCGAGATCGCATGAAGTGAGTCAAGTGGGATAGTGTACATCAAGCTGAGCCTCCAAAGACTAGTTGTGCTCCAATCCCCCAAGGTGCCACTAGCCTCCTTTGACTACAGCGCCATGGCCTAAAGAACGGCCTCAAATCTGGGATTTCAGAGCCGCAACGACGCTTGCCTTCACGACAGTCTTGGCAGGCTGCGCCTTCACCATCACCTCCTTGCCGAACATCAACCTCTTGCCAGCCTTGGTTGCTGGCTTCTGGCGAGTCTTGATCATGCACAGTCCTGGAAGAGTGAACTTGCCAGACTTCTTCACCTCCTCGGTGCCAATCTCGGTCAGACTGTTCAAGATCTTGGCGATGTCAGATTTCTTCATCTCCGTGGCGTCAGCCAACGAACCCATGAGGCCTCCCTTGGTCATGGCCTTCTGACCCTTCATGGCTTTCATGGCAACCTTCTTTGCCTTCATCGCTTTCATTGCAGGGGCCATGATGTCGGAAGAAAGGGAGAGAACTGTCGGAATCGAATGCAGCTTGAGCCCAGATCAACTGCATCAACTGCGAAACTCAAACTCTAGCCACCTGCCAGCTTTTGACTGACGTTCGTAAGATAAAGAGTGACCTTCTCACTCTATTCAGCCATCTTCAGCGCAAGCAACATGGACTTTGTTCTACAAGCATCTGTAAAAGAATCCTTGCAATAACATTCTGGTTGGCAAGATTGATGTCTAGGGAAACGAAGACAGAAACATTGTCCGGAACTCTGACTTGCACACCCTTTCTTGAAGTTGCACAGACTCATATGCAATAATATACAAGTAGATCAAGTAGTATATACGTTTCTGATATTTTCTGATATCAATGTGTGATTTGAACATAGAAAAGGTCGGACGTGGACAAGCTGCAGGGCAATCATTGCGGCAATGATTCTTTTCCACTTCGAGATCGCATGAAGTGAGTCAAGTGGGATAGTGTACATCAAGCTGAGCCTCCAAAGACTAGTTGTGCTCCAATCCCCCAAGGTGCCACTAGCCTCCTTTGACTACAGCGCCATGGCCTAAAGAACGGCCTCAAATCTGGGATTTCAGAGCCGCAACGACGCTTGCCTTCACGACAGTCTTGGCAGGCTGCGCCTTCACCATCACCTCCTTGCCGAACATCAACCTCTTGCCAGCCTTGGTTGCTGGCTTCTGGCGAGTCTTGATCATGCACAGTCCTGGAAGAGTGAACTTGCCAGACTTCTTCACCTCCTCGGTGCCAATCTCGGTCAGACTGTTCAAGATCTTGGCGATGTCAGATTTCATCTCCGTGGCGTCAGCCAACGAACCCATGAGGCCTCCCTTGGTCATGGCCTTCTGACCCTTCATGGCTTTCATGGCAACCTTCTTTGCCTTCATCGCTTTCATTGCAGGGGCCATGATGTCGGAAGAATGGGAGAGAACTGTCAGAATCAGATGCGGCTTGAGCCCAGATCAACTGCATCAACTGCGAAACTCAAACTCTAGCCACCTGCCAGCTTTTGACTGACGTTCGTAAGATAAAGAGTGACCTTCTCACTCTATTCAGCCATCTTCAGCGCAAGCAACATGGACTTTGTTCTACAAGCATCTGAAAAAGAATCCTTGCAATAACATTCTGGTTGGCAAGATTGATGTTTAAGGAAACGAAGACAGAAACATTGTCCGGAACTCTGACTTGCACACCTCTTCTTGAACTTGCATAGACTCATATGCGATAATATACAAGTAGATCAAGTAGTATATCAACATTTCTGATATTTTCTGATATCAATGTGTGATTTGAACATAGAAAAGGTCGGACGTGGACAAGCTGCAGGGCAATCATTGCGGCAATGATTCTTTTCCACTTCGAGATCGCATGAAGTGAGTCAAGTGGGATAGTGTACATCAAGCTGAGCCTCCAAAGACTAGTTGTGCTCCAATCCCCCAAGGTGCCACTAGCCTCCTTTGACTACAGCGCCATGGCCTAAAGAACGGCCTCAAATCTGGGATTTCAGAGCCGCAACGACGCTTGCCTTCACGACAGTCTTGGCAGGCTGCGCCTTCACCATCACCTCCTTGCCGAACATCAACCTCTTGCCAGCCTTGGTTGCTGGCTTCTGGCGAGTCTTGATCATGCACAGTCCTGGAAGAGTGAACTTGCCAGACTTCTTCACCTCCTCGGTGCCAATCTCGGTCAGACTGTTCAAGATCTTGGCGATGTCAGATTTCTTCATCTCCGTGGCGTCAGCCAACGAACCCATGAGGCCTCCCTTGGTCATGGCCTTCTGACCCTTCATGGCTTTCATGGCAACCTTCTTTGCCTTCATCGCTTTCATTGCAGGGGCCATGATGTCGGAAGAATGGGAGAGAACTGTCGGAATCGAATGCAGCTTGGGCCCAGATCAACTGCATCAACTGCGAAACTCAAACTCTAGCCACCTGCCAGCTTTTGACTGACGTTCGTAAGATAAAGAGTGACCTTCTCACTCTATTCAGCCATCTTCAGCGCAAGCAACATGGACTTTGTTCTACAAGCATCTGAAAAAGAATCCTTGCAATAACATTCTGGTTGGCAAGATTGATGTTTAAGGAAACGAAGACAGAAACATTGTCCGGAACTCTGACTTGCACACCTCTTCTTGAACTTGCATAGACTCATATGCGATAATATACAAGTAGATCAAGTAGTATATCAACATTTCTGATATTTTCTGATATCAATGTGTGATTTGAACATAGAAAAGGTCGGACGTGGACAAGCTGCAGGGCAATCATTGCGGCAATGATTCTTTTCCACTTCGAGATCGCATGAAGTGAGTCAAGTGGGATAGTGTACATCAAGCTGAGCCTCCAAAGACTAGTTGTGCTCCAATCCCCCAAGGTGCCACTAGCCTCCTTTGACTACAGCGCCATGGCCTAAAGAACGGCCTCAAATCTGGGATTTCAGAGCCGCAACGACGCTTGCCTTCACGACAGTCTTGGCAGGCTGGGCCTTCACCATCACCTCTTGCCGAAAATCAACCATCTTGACCAGCCTTGGTGATGGCTTATGGATGAGTCTTGATCATGCACCAGTCCTGGAAAGAGCTGAACAATTGCCAGACTTCTTCAACCTCCTCCGGTGCCAAGCTCGGTCAGAATGTTCAAGATCTTGGCGATGTCGATTTCTTCATCTCAGTGGCGTTCAGCACGAAACCCATGAGGCGCCCTTGTCTGGCCATTCGGACCTTCATGGCTTTCATGGGCAACCTTCTTTGCCTTTCATCGCTTTCATTGCAGGGGCCATGATGTCGGAAGAAAGGGAGAGAACTGTCGGAATCGAATGCAGCTTGAGCCCAGATCAACTGCATCAACTGCGAAACTCAAACTCTAGCCACCTGCCAGCTTTTGACTGACGTTCGTAAGATAAAGAGTGACCTTCTCACTCTATTCAGCCATCTTCAGCGCAAGCAACATGGACTTTGTTCTACAAGCATCTGAAAAAGAATCCTTGCAATAACATTCTGGTTGGCAAGATTGATGTCTAGGGAAACGGAGACAGAAACATTGTCCGGAACTCTGACTTGCACACCTCTTCTTGAACTTGCATAGACTCATATGCGATAATATACAAGTAGATCAAGTAGTATATACATTTCTGATATTTTCTGATATCAATGTGTGATTTGAACATAGAAAAGGTCGGACGTGGACAAGCTGCAGGGCAATCATTGCGGCAATGATTCTTTTCCACTTCGAGATCGCATGAAGTGAGTCAAGTGGGATAGTGTACATCAAGCTGAGCCTCCAAAGACTAGTTGTGCTCCAATCCCCCAAGGTGCCACTAGCCTCCTTTGACTACAGCGCCATGGCCTAAAGAACGGCCTCAAATCTGGGATTTCAGAGCCGCAACGACGCTTGCCTTCACGACAGTCTTGGCAGGCTGCGCCTTCACCATCACCTCCTTGCCGAACATCAACCTCTTGCCAGCCTTGGTTGCTGGCTTCTGGCGAGTCTTGATCATGCACAGTCCTGGAAGAGTGAACTTGCCAGACTTCTTCACCTCCTCGGTGCCAATCTCGGTCAGACTGTTCAAGATCTTGGCGATGTCAGATTTCTTCATCTCCGTGGCGTCAGCCAACGAACCCATGAGGCCTCCCTTGGTCATGGCCTTCTGACCCTTCATGGCTTTCATGGCAACCTTCTTTGCCTTCATCGCTTTCATTGCAGGGGCCATGATGTCGGAAGAAAGGGAGAGAACTGTCGGAATCGAATGCAGCTTGAGCCCAGATCAACTGCATCAACTGCGAAACTCAAACTCTAGCCACCTGCCAGCTTTTGACTGACGTTCGTAAGATAAAGAGTGACCTTCTCACTCTATTCAGCCATCTTCAGCGCAAGCAACATGGACTTTGTTCTACAAGCATCTGAAAAAGAATCCTTGCAATAACATTCTGGTTGGCAAGATTGATGTCTAGGGAAACGAAGAGAGAAACATTGTCCGGAACTCTGACTTGCACACCTCTTCTTGAACTTGCATAGACTCGTATGCGATAATATACAAGTAGTACATTATATATATATATTATGTATATACGTGTCTGATATTTTCTGATATCAATGTGTGATTTGAACATAGAAAAGGTCGGACGTGGACAAGCTGCAGGGCAATCATTGCGGCAATGATTCTTTTCCACTTCGAGATCGCATGAAGTGAGTCAAGTGGGATAGTGTACATCAAGCTGAGCCTCCAAAGACTAGTTGTGCTCCAATCCCCCAAGGTGCCACTAGCCTCCTTTGACTACAGCGCCATGGCCTAAAGAACGGCCTCAAATCTGGGATTTCAGAGCCGCAACGACGCTTGCCTTCACGACAGTCTTGGCAGGCTGCGCCTTCACCATCACCTCCTTGCCGAACATCAACCTCTTGCCAGCCTTGGTTGCTGGCTTCTGGCGAGTCTTGATCATGCACAGTCCTGGAAGAGTGAACTTGCCAGACTTCTTCACCTCCTCGGTGCCAATCTCGGTCAGACTGTTCAAGATCTTGGCGATGTCAGATTTCTTCATCTCCGTGGCGTCAGCCAACGAACCCATGAGGCCTCCCTTGGTCATGGCCTTCTGACCCTTCATGGCTTTCATGGCAACCTTCTTTGCCTTCATCGCTTTCATTGCAGGGGCCATGATGTCGGAAGAAAGGGAGAGAACTGTCGGAATCGAATGCAGCTTGAGCCCAGATC